CTGGAGGTACTTCGTTTCCCGGGGCGACTATGTTCTCGTTTTCGCCATGAAGACCAAGGCCGGTGTCCATGTGAGTGGACGCTACTTGAGAGTTTGGCCTGTTGATTCCTGAAATCAAAGACACTTACGAGAACAAGTGTAAAGCAGTGTGTGTTATGAGGATTAATACCAGGCAATCACTATTATCCTTAGCCCACGGTGGGCGCCAAACTGTTTACCCTTAAAATTGGATAACAATTAAATTTATAATGTGGCTTTAAGGACACGTGATTTAACCTAATACAAATTGATAAATGTAAAGACTAGTGATGGAAATTAACAATAAGATAAGGCAAACCAGTGTTTGAGCAGAATTCAGCCCTCAAGTCGAACACCCTCGAACTGATCGATGGAAGAACAATTAAAAATATACCAATCTGATGAAAAAGAATATAAGCTAGAAAGTACTGTATTTCTTTGAAGTACAATTCTAATTACGGAAGTAAATCCCATGATTTAACCGCTTTGATTTGATCCGTTCCGAGATATCCGCCGTGATCTTCGACCGGTCATGGATATCCCGCTTTTCCGTTATTGCTCTTTGCTCGAAGTCTGCCATATTCGGTCTCGATCATTGATGGCCTCGATCTCGACGGGCACTTCGATCCCTGAACTAGATACCTTGTCCTCGTGCTTTGGATTGATCCACGACGAGGCTGGCCTTCGGCGTAATTCCATGGTCTCGATCGAATAGTAAAACCGGGTAGGCCCGGTTTTAACCGTATACAAAATCACCTGACGATGTGTTTGATTCTCTAATTCGTTATAGTTATGCCGTATGCGTGTATCTTATGCCGGTTATATTTGTACATATAATAAGTGTAGTACTATTATTTTTTGGTCAATTTCTTGATAAATCTCCAAAGTATCATCCTAAAATTTCATGTTTGGAATCAAATTGGTTTTCGAATCAGATACTGCTAAGACCGTATTCAAAAATTTGAACAAAACATTCTTCCATGCTGAATCTTTTTCCTTTTTCCCCCTCAAGTCAAAATATTCTTCACTGTGACTATCCATTTTTAACCAGATAATCTGTCATAGCATTTCCTTCTCAATAGGAAGAGGGCGAAGCTAGAGACTAAGTGGCCAATGAAAATGTATCTTTTATACATACATGCATTGCCAATGAAAATTCTAGCGGCTAAAGAAACATAATCAATAGCATCGCACAGTCTCCGGACACTTTCCTTGGTTTCTGTTCTGCTTTCTCAGCTGGTATTTGACAACATAAAGAAAAAAAACTAAAGGGAAAAAATAGGCCGTACTACTAACAAATTAATAGAGCTCCCATCTCATATTGTATTGTATTTCCAGAACATAATAGAAAAAAAAAGAGGACGAGATGTACAGATCTTGAATTTAAAGCAAGTAGTAAGAAGCAGCGTGTGGTTTTGGGATTTGACGAAGAAGAATAAAGGGAAGAAAATAAAGGAGAAAGATGCTGTTGACTGAAGCTTTCATACTGTTGGCTTCGACCGATTTCTCAGTCCATTTGAAATTGGAGATACACAATCACAAGTTTCACGTGTGCGATTGTTAAAGAGGTGGCTAACATATACACCTATTTATCAGGATAAATATTTCAACTTAATTTAAAAGACACATGTCCTATGTTTACTACTTTAATGCAGATATATAGTTAAAGGAATAGAGGCGAATATATATTGCAAATTTATTTAAGAACCATTTATATATTTCAGACTTTAGTCAACCGAATGTATTGTGATAATATTTCAAATTCGAACTCATAACATTCAAATCTTAAATTGTTATATTTGTATGCACGCAATACAGATAATGATTTACGTTTGCTAACTATACTTGAAACATTCATGAATCTTAAGTTTTGTTGAAGGTTGACGGGATCGAAATCGTTGAAGTCCAGTCAACTCCTTTTGGCTTTTTTTTCTATTTTCTTTTGGGACATTATTTAACATTCGTGATTCTTGCCCTTTCGCAATCTAAGAGAAAGTGCGGCTTAATTAGGTAGCTTCGTTATTTTCGGCCAAATTATGGACCAAAATAGTTATTGAGAGATTTTGGACACTAGCATTACATTTAAACAAAGTATATATACTTCGAAATATACCATTCCCCTTGTATATTAAAGGCATAATACCTCTTAATTACCTCTCTCCAATAAGATCAATGAAAACAAGAACGATCAAAGTTAAATATCTCAGTATTGTTGTTGATTCATCGAGATAAAAAGATAAACTAATTACGCTATTTGTAGCCTTTGGGAGCAATTAATGATTTCTATGTGTACATAAGTGAAAGAAAAGGCAGAAATTCTGACAATTTTCTGTGTGTATTTTTATTCACTGTAATTTGTCTTTTATACAAATCTTATCTATGTATAGATACAAAAGAATATAAATAAAATATTCTTATACACTTATACTATTTCCTATTAGCTAAAATCTAACTAACTAACAGAAATATTCTTTACAATGTGTGTGAGCATGTGTGGTTCACATGTAAACAATTCTAGACCCTTCTCATCTGAAAATGAGAAATATCAAATTGGATGGCTGTGATTTGTTCCTCTCTTATCAAATCAACGTCCCAGATGAAGTTAGATGAATTAGCATCAATGCTCGTGATTTGGACACGTGTCTCTCTTCAAATAAGATTAGTGTCTCAGATATCTTCAGACATTAGCTCAAACAAAACCTTGGAGAGTCCGAAATTTCTTTTCACTTCTCTCCTCTCTTACTTCTTCTTCTCTCTTGTTTCTTCATTATTCTGTGAAGCATCCGTTGAATCAACATAGGGGTTCTTATCTTCAACATCCCCCCTCAAGATGCAGGGGAGAGAATGGACCCCCAGCTTGCTCAAAATATGGCGATGATAACCCCCAAATAAGGGTTTGGTGAACAAATCTGCGAGCTGACAGTCCGAGGGAACAAAAGAGAGAGATATCAAACCAGAAAGGAATTACTGATGAACAAAGTGGCATTCGAGTTCCACATGTTTAGTGCGTTCATGAAAGACTGGGTTGCGAGCTATGTGAATCGCAGCCTGGCTATCGGAGTGGATAGGAACTGGTAAAGTAGGCTGGACTGTGAGATCCCCCAAAAGACGAACGAGCCAAGTGATCTCTGCTGTTACTCGACGCATGGAACGATATTCAGCTTCGGCAGATGACAAAGAAATGGAAGCCTGCTTTTTGGATTTCCAGGAAATAGGTGCACCTCCAAGGGTAACAAAGAACCTACTGACTGAGCGTCTAGAATCGCGACATGCTGCCCAATCAGCATCGCAAAAGGCCAGCAAATCAAAAGAGGGGTGTGAGGAAAGGAGAATTCCTTGTGAGGGATCTGTACAGAGGTATCTCAACACACGTTGAGCAGCAGAATAATGAGAAGGGCAAGGCTTTTGCATATATTGGCTGAGTGATAGAACAGCAAAAGAGAGTTCAGGTCTGGTGTTCGTCAAATAGTTAAGCTTACCAACTAGATGGCGATAAAGACTTGGGTTGTCCATTGGTTCCCCCAAATCTGCTTGAAGCTTGATGGAAGGGTCAAGAGGTGAAGAAATTCTGCTTCCTGAACAGTCAAACTCTTGTAGCAGTTCTAAGGTAAATTTTTGTTGGCTTATAATGAATCCCTGCTTTTTCTCTGAGTATTTCCATGCCTAGAAAGTAATGAGTATCCCCTAAATGTTTCACTTTGAATTCTGAATTGAGAAAACCAGTGATTTATGTAATCTCTATGGTATCATCTCCTGTGAGTAGGATATCGTCAACATATACTGCTAGGATAGAAACAAGAGCACCATTGTGCTTATAGAAAAGGGAATAGTCATTGAGAGAACTAGAATATCCTTTAAAACTCAAAGCTCCTGCAAGTTTGGCATACCACTGTCTGGATGCCTGCTTTAACCCATAAAGGGACTTCTTTAAGAGACAAACCTGGTTTGGTTTAGGTGGAAGAACACCTGTAGGGAATTTCATATAGACCTCTTCTTGCAATTCTCCATGTAAAAATGCATTATTAACATCAAGTTGTGACACCCTCCAACCTTTCTTCACAGCCACAGTCAAAAGGCACCTTATAGTGGTCAATTTGACCACTGGAGAGAAAGTTTCAAAATAGTCAATCCCTTCTCTTTGAATGTCCCCCCTCGCTACTAGCCTAGCTTTCAACCTTTCCACAATTCCATCTGAATGATGCTTTACCTTGTATACCCATTTACAAGGTAAAGCTTTCTTTCCTGGAGGCAAATCTACCACATCCCAAGTGTGGTTTAGTTGCAAAGCTATAATTTCTGCATCCATGGCAGCTTTCCATCCTGGGTGATTAAAAGCCTGTACATAGCTGCTAAGTTCAGAAATGGTAGATAGGGATTGAACCAAATGTTGATTAGAAGGGGATAAAGCTGCAAAAGAGAAAACATTAGGAATAGCAGGCTGATTGAAGAAAGAATCAGTGAGATTAGAAAGAATGATAGCATTGCACACAATAGTCTGTCAAATAGGCAGGCCTTTGAGAAATTCTGTCAGACTTTCTAATAGGTGGTGGAGGTGTGGGAATTACATTTCTGGATGTTGTGTGAGGGGGTGAGTAGGAAGGAATGTAAGATTCACTTGGGATTGGTGTGGGTTCAGCTTCAGAGTGAGGTGCAGAGTGTGGAACATTGGGTGAAACAGGGCTAGAACTAGATGTCCTAAGAGGTGTTGAATGAGTGTCTGAGAGAGGTGAATTTGGTGAGTGAGGAAGTTCTAGCTGTTGTGAAGAAGATTCATCTCTGGGAGCTGGAGAGTAGGTAGTGGGAGTTGGCATATCTGGTGCAAAAGTATGAGTAGTGGGATTAGAACATGATGGGAAATAGGTGGAGGAATGTGCTTGGTGAAAAGGAAAAAGATCCTCAAGAAATTTGATGTCCCTGGAGACAAATACCCTTTTTGTATCTATATCCATTACCTTGTATCCCTTTTGTCCTTGTGCATATCCTTAGAATACACAAGTCTTGGCTCTAGGTTCAAGTTTTCCTCTGTCCTGAGATAAGGTGGACACATAGCACAAACATCCAAAACTTCTTAGAACCTCATATGTTGGTTCTTTCCCCAGTAGAACTGCATATGGTGTTTTCCCTTTCAATACTTTTGAGGGGAACTTGTTTATCAGAAATGTTGCAGTTAAAACACATTCTCCCCAATATTGGAGAGGAACCTTGGATTGGAATAGTAATCCCCTAGCAATCTCCAGAAGATGTCTATGTTTCCTCTCAACTACCCCATTCTGTTGAGGTGTAGCTACACAAGAGGTTTCATGAAGGATCCCTTGTTCTTGAAAGAATCTGGATTCTTGTGTTCCCTTTCCTAATTCCCAAGCATTGTCTGATCTCACCCTTTTTACTTTCTTGTTGAACTGCCTTTCAACCATAGAAAGAAAAGACTTTAAAACTGGAAAAGCATTGCTTTTGGTACTCAATAAGAAAGTCCAGGTTGCCCTACTAAAATCATCAACTATGGTCAAAAAATAGTTGTATCCATTATATGTAGTAGTCTTAAAGGGACCCCAAGTATCTATGTTAATGAGGTCAAATGGAGATGTAGTTCTTACTAGGCTAATGGGAAAAGGAAGCCTAGTTTGCCTTAAATTTCTTCATTACTGAAAAGGGCAAATGCCCCAACCTTACATGCCATTGAGTTACATCTGAAACAGCATTTGCAAAAACTGAAACTCGAAATGAAACTTTACTAGGTACTATACTGGAATCACTTCCTTTTGGAATGGAAATTACATTCTGACTAAATAGAATTCTAGACTCTGAAGTTCTAGGCTGGAGTAGATATAATCCATCCCTTACTTCACCAAAAACTTGTCCCCTCCTCATTAAAGGGACCTGCAATAGACATTCACTAGAAGTAAGATTGATGATGCATTTGAATTGAGTGCATAACTTATGAACAGATAACAAGTTATACTTGAAAGATGGAACATAAAGAACTCTTTCTAGGATCATATCTGGCTGAATGCAAACCTGCCCTATGTGTGTGAAAAACAGTTGAAAAGAATTTGGCAAACTTATATGTAAAGGCAGAGGTAATGGTGTTAGAGTTGGGAAAGACTTGGAGTCAAAACACATATGTTCTGAGGCACCTGAATCAATTATCCAGGTTTTAGTATTAAAAACAGCAAGACATGTTCCTGAATATTTGAGAATAGTACCAGCAATAGCACTGGCACTAATTTCTGAGGTTGCATTTCCTGTACTCCCCACCTGCACCTATCTGACTATGTTTACCAGTTCAGATACCTGTTCCTTGCTGAAAAATTATGCCTGATTGTTAAGGTTTGCTTCATTGTTCTCACCAGACTGTCCATCACCCTACTGATCTGAAACTACAGCATTTGATTTTATTGTTGCTCCTTGAAAATTTCCACCCTTAGTGAATTGGAATTCATCAGGGAATCCTATAAGTCTGTAGCAATCAGCCCTTACATGTCCTATCTTTGAGCAATGGCTGCAAATAACATTTGGATTAAATTTAGATTTCTTTGTCTTAGACTTATATTGTGTGTTTCCTGGATTTTGCTGAGAACTCCAACCCTTTTGCATTTGGTTATTTTTCTGTGGAAATTTGTTCTGTGATCCTACCATAAAGGAAGCCCCATCAGTAGGATATTGTGGGCTCATATAGATCTCCCTTTGGCTCTCATCTTGTAGTAAGAGTGAGTTAGTTTGATCTACGCCAGGAATAGGACTGAGCATTAGAATGTTTCCCCTTGCTTGTGCATAAGCATCATTCAGTCCCATTAGGAATTGAATGACCCTTTGATCTTCCATGAACTTAGCTATCTTCTTTTTTCCATCACAGTTACATGCACAAGTGCACCCTAAGTGTGAGTTAAGTGAGTCTAGCTCATTCCATAGTCTCTTAAGAGTGGTGAAATATCCTGATATGTTGTTGTTTCCCTGAATTTTTTTTGGAATCTCCTTCTATAGATGGTATAGCTTTGCTCCACTACACTGCCCAAACCTGTGTTCCAGGCTGCTTGATCGCGGCCGTATCAACACTACACAATGGTAGTAAGAGTGGGTAGCAATAACTAATACCCGAATAGTGGATCGGGGTCGAATTTCCATAGGGAGCTTGGAATGGAGTTGTATTGCCGGATTAGTTTAGAAATGAGTTTGTACTTCTAATTGCACTCCTAACATTTTTGAGGGTTTTTATATTTAAAACTACTTGTGTAACCTAAGAATTAAAGTTAAATTATGCTAAGGAAATATTGCTAAGTTGTGCTTGATATGAGAAAAAGGCACTAGGGTTGTGACACTACCTAGGTGGCTAGCTAACGGTAGAAGCTACTAAGGGGAGATTGATAAATCTGGGTTTAGTGCTATAGCCATTACACAAGTGCACTCATTCTCACACCTCTCGGTAGAGAGAACAATTTTGCCCAATTGACTCTCTCGAGACCAATTACGTAGGCCAATTTGACCGGGCAACTAGGGCTCAAGTAGGGTAATTACTCTTTCGAGGTTTAACCCGTTAATTGGGACTACCATTCTCATGGGTCCATCCCAATTCCTTGTTGGGTTAACTTTTAGGGTCATAAGACTCTTTCTCTCAAGAAGAGTTAGACCCGCTAAGCTTGAATTCATGTTTGCAACCACAAATTCTAGATTGAAACACAAAATCAACCCAAATAACAAATACCCAATCTCAATCTCACCCTAGAATACAACACCCATTAACTAGCCACACTAGGGTTGGCCACAACCCTAGCTAATGGGTTTAGCTAGACATAATTAAAGAAGAAACAGTAGAAATAGATGATGAAATTTACATAATAATTGATTACTACTTAAAATCTATGATATTCAATTGGTCTTTGAATAACCCAGTCTCTCTAACCCCCTTGAAAAGAAGTAAATACTCAAATGAGTCAAGAAATGTGTGTCAAAATGAATCAAAAGAAGTGCTCAAGGGAAGATTGAACCCGCTTGAACAAAATCATGTCCGATCCTTGCCCAAAAGCCTTTACAATGACTCCACAAAAGCCCTATATGATCTTGAGTTGAACGAAACCTACATTAGTGGATACTTACATAAGGGGTCTTTCCTTTTGTCTTGTCTACATTAGAGCCACGGCTTCCACCCACTTTGAGACATAGTCCACCGCCACGAGAATGTAAGTATTACCACAGGAGCTCACGAATGGACCCATGAAATCGATGCCCCAAACATCAAAAATATCCACCTCGAGAATTGTATTGAGAGGCATCTCATCCTTCTTGGAAATACCGCCGGCTCTTTGACATGCATCACATCTCTTCACCAATTCACTAGCATCCTTGAACAGCGTCGGCCAATAGAAGCCGCAACTCAAAACTTTTGAGGCTGTCCTCACCCTCCCCCCCCCTCCCCGTGAGGGCCACCATAGGGAGAAGAGTGACAAGCCTCCAATATGCTCATTTCTTCACTTTCCGGTACACATCTTCTTATCACTCCATCCGTGCAAATGCTAAACAAATACGGATCATCCCAATAGAAATCCAAACTATCCCGCTTGAGTTTCTTCCTTTGGTTGGAAGAGAGCTCACACGGGACGTTACCAGTCACAATGAAGTTGGCGATGTCCGCGAACCATGGCATTTCACACATAGAAACGGAAAGAAGCTGCTCGTCAGGGAACCTATCATTAATCTCAATACCATCACTTGGTCTCCCATCTTCCTCTAATCGGGACAAATGGTCTGCAACTTGATTCTCGCTTCCCTTTCTATCCACAATCTCTAAATCAAATTCCTGAAGGAGTAGCACCCATCTCATCAATCTTGCTTTCGAATCCTTCTTAGTCATCAAATACCGGAGAGCTGATTGGTCCGTGTGTATGATCACCTTTGCTCCCATAAGGTAAGGTCGAAATTTCTCCATCGCGAACACAATAGCCAATAGCTCCTTTTCTGTCACTGTGTAGTTTCTCTGGGCCTCATTCATCGTCTTACTAGCATAATACACAGGATGGAACATTTTGTTGATCCTTTGGCCTAGCACCGCCCAACCGCTACATCACTTGCATCGCACATAAGTTCAAAAGGCAAATCCCAATTAGGTGCGGTGATTATAGGAGTTGTTGTCAACTTGTGTTTCAATAGCTCAAAAGACTCCATGCACTTCTCATCAAAGATAAACTTGACATCCTTCTCTAACAATTTGCAATGCGGGTTCACAATTTTTGAAAAATCTTTAATGAATCGCCGGTAGAACCCGGCATGACCAAGGAAACTCCTCACCCCTTTGACAGAAGTAGGGGGAGGGAGCCTTGAGATAACCTCTATTTTTGCCTTATCAACTTTAATTCCTTGCCTTGAGATTTTGTGACCCAATACAATTCCCTCTTGCACCATAAAGTGACATTTCTCCCAGTTGAGCACAAGGTTGGTTTCTTCACATCTTGCCAAAACCCTATCCAAGTTCACCAAACATTCTTCAAATGAATCTCCCACCACGCTGAAGTCGTCCATGAATACCTCCAAGATATCCTCCACCATGTCGGTGAAAATTGCCATCATACATCTTTGGAAGGTCGCTGGGGCATTACATAGTCCGAATGGCATTCTCGAGAAAGCGAACGTGCCATAAGGACATGTAAAGGTTGTCTTCTCCTGATCCTCCGGGGCAATGAGAATTTGATTATACCCCGAGTAGCCATCTAGAAAATAATAAAAGGCCCGGCCCGCAAGACGATCGAGCATTTGGTCCAAGAATGGTAGTGGGAAATGATCTTTTCTTGTCACCTTATTCAGCTTTCTATAGTCCATACCTGAGGTGTGGAGGAAGTGGTTTCAACTCCAACACCGGTGGCTCCTCAATTGATGGCTTGGTTGGCGGAGTTTTGCGATTCTCAAGATCCAAAGATAGTTTCCTAGGCTCATATGAATATGAACCCATTCCATGCAATGCATTCACACACTCCACTCTACCGGCATCATCATTGGCATCCATGTTAAGAAGCACGGCTTCAAGAGGATCTTCAACATTAATCAAGGCACTTGTGTCATCCACTATCACCGCCGTGACAATGTCCACAAATGAACACACCTCCGTACTATTGGGTTGCCTCATGGACTTGCACACATGAAATACCACCTTCTCATCACCCACACGGAATGTTAACTCCCCTGCGTCCACATCAACCAATGCCTTCCCCCTAGCTAGGAAGGTCTTCCAAGAATAATAGGCACTTCGAAATCCACTTCGCAATCCAATATGACAAAGTCGGCCGGCAATATAAATTTGTCCACCCGGACAAGCACATCGTCGATTATACCTAAAGGCCTCTTCATCGACCGGTCCGCCATTTGAAGTCTCATTGAGGTTGGCCTAGGTTGCCCAATTCCCAAAGTCTTGAAGACTGAGTACGCAACAGATTAATGCTAGCCCCCAAGTCACATAGGGCCTTAGCAAAGTCCGCACTCCCGATAGTGCAAGGAATAGTGAAATCTCCAGGGTCTTCTAGCTTCGGGGCCATAGAATGCACAATCGCACTAACTTGGTGCATCATCTTTATTGTTTCACACTCCATAGAACGCTTCTTGGTGACTAAATCCTTCATAAATTTTGTGTAACCAGGCATTTGTTCAAGTGCCTCCACTAAAGGAACATTTATTGTGAGGCTCTTCATCATGTCTATGAATTTCTTGAACTGATTGTCGTTCTTTTGCTTTGCTAACCGCTGAGGATATAGTGGAGGTGGTCTAGGCAAGGGTGCCTTGGCCTTGGGCACCGTCGGCTTGGGTATATCAATAATGTGTTCCCTAGACGGGTTCACGGTATCTTGAGTCTCTACCCCGGCCTCATCATCAATATCAATCCGCACATCATTTGTCACTATTGGTTCAACCACATTGTCAACATTCAAAGGTGCATCATCATCATGCATCTCAATTTCATCATTCACAACTTGATTCTCAACCGAGGCATGCACATCACTGCCTCTTCCACTCCTAGTTGTAACCGCCATCACATGATTGTTACCCCCCTTCGGGTTCACTACCGTATCACTTGGTAGCGCACATTTTGGTCGGGTATTTAAATCTTGAGAGATTTGTCCTATTTGCACCTCTAGGTTCCGGATAGACGTGTTATGTGAAGCCAATTGTGCGTCAGAATCTTGGTTCTTTTTCATCATCTGCTCGAACATCATCTCTATCCGTCCCATATCACTTCCAGAAGAACTAGGCCCTTGTGAATGAAAGGGGGGTGGATTGTTTGGTTGTTGGAACATGGGGGGACTTTGAAAGCCTTTCCCCCTACCACCATTATTCCACCCTCCTTGATTGCTATTGTTGTTGTTCCAATTGTTGTTGTTCGAGTTCAAATTGAATTGGTTATTACCTTGATTACCCCAATTGTTGTTCTGATTGTTATTGTTCCAATTGTTACCACCTTGTTGTTGATTATTGTTATTCTAATTGCCGCCTCCTTGTTGATTGCCCCAATTTCCTTGGGGGCGCCATTGTTGATTCCCTTGAATTCTTCTATTTCCTTGGTAGTTATTGACATATTGGAATTCCTCACTTTGATCATCAAAACATTCGTTCGAATAACCACCACCATCATTGTTGTTGTCAAACTGCTCACCATTACCTTGAGGTTGTTGTTGCCCTCTTTGCCTCCTTTTTAGCATAGAAACATTCTCCATTGCATTGACTTGGCGCGGGTTTTGTACTTGTTGCAATTGCGCCTTCGCCAACTGATTCATTATTGTTGTAAGTTCGGCAATATCTTGGCCATGGTCACTCAA